TTCCAGCTTCCTGCAGTTCCATCTGGCTTGTAGGGGAAAGGTGAGGGAAGAGCCATGAGGGAGCAGGGTTAGGTAGAGAGAAGGATGGGTCCTACCTCTGACTGGATAGATTGTGCAGACCATCGTGGAAGGTGCCAGCCGGAGGAGCCAGAGCAGCTAGGGCCCCACTGAAGGAGCTGCAGGCCAAGATGACTTCTCTTTGTCCTCTCGCTTGATGTCACATATACACGCAACAAGGTGAGTATGTATGTATATACGACTAATTTTTGTTTTTGAGTAAAACAAAATCAGAGAAAGTTTTTGGCAAGTGAAGAAAGGACATAGGATCAAAGAGAAGTCCTGTGTATTTAAAATGGCTCTGCTATGTTACAGGATCTTGGGTTTGACTGCTGTGGAAGCTTATCTTGTCTTCATCTCAGCATCTCTGGAGGAGGAGCTGGGGCTGGGGGCTGGTTATAATGCAGCACTCCAAACGTAGGGCTATTTGGAGCTGTGGGTTTGAAGGTGACATTCCTGGCTTCCACTAGCTCTCTTTGCATACCTCCTTATTTTTATTAAACAGTAACAATTAAAGAAGCATTTGATTGTTTCTTCATTTGCCAAAAATGATGTTTGTGATTATTTTCTTTAATTCCATGGTGGTAATGATTTCTAGTACAGCAAAATGAGATTGTTCTGGTCATCATGTATTGGAAAAATGGACCCTAGGGCTGAGAAGTTGGTTGGATGAACTGAGGGCACCAAGAATGTTATCACAAGGATGCTGTGATTTAGGGGAGCCCACCTGTCTGGAGGCTGCCACCTAGCTGGGACCAGGAAAAACCTGAACACCACCTGTAGCAGGCTGCCTCTCAGATCTGTCTAGGATGGTCACGGACTCTGTTTACCTTACTCTTTCATTTTCATTATCACTATCTTTGTTGTCTTAAAATAATCCCAAACTCCAAATTATATTCTGAGAAAGTAGTTCTGGTCCACATACAATTATTGAGGACCTTCTGAATATCAGGCACTGTGCTTGATCTTACAGTCTAATGGGAGGAAACAGATACACAAACAGATAACTTACAACAGTCTGATTTTGAGGAATAAATAGTGGGAAACAGAGCTTGTTGACTAGTTAAATATGGGAGTTCAGAGAAAGGAAAAGTATCTGGGTTCATTTCTAGGTACTGCCAACCATTTTATCCTCCTTGAAACTCTCCCTCTCTGGGCCCCCACAAACCTCTCTGTCTTCGAATTCTGTCTGCTTTGCTGATCTTCTTCAATAGATCCACTCCAAAGGCACAGTCCGTAAATGTTGGTGTCCCTAGGATCCCCTCTTTCGCTGTTTGCTCCATTCTCTCTTTCTCACAGGGCAAGGATTCTCAAAGCTCTCTCTTTAGCTCAGGCCTCCCTTCCGAGCAACACACATTGCCCAGCATCTACGAGGTTGCTCCATCTGCCCAGGCCCTGCAGAGTGAGTGGCCAAAGCCTCTAGCCCACAGCACTGTGCCTTCCTGCTGCCTGTGATGCTGGCACTGCCTCCACAGAGGACACAGAGTGCGTGGAAGTCTCCGAAATATTCCAGCCACATAATGTAAATTTTTCTAGTAGCCACATTAAAAAAGCAAAAAGAAACAAGTGAGATTAATTTTCACAATATATTAACCCAATACAGCAAACATTATAATTTTAACATGTGATCAGTATAAAAGTTGAAATATTTTATGTACATATTTTTTTTCATACTGAACCTTCAAAATTTAGTGTGTGTTTCATTTATTTATTTATTTATTTATTTAATTGATTTTTAAAGAGAGAGGAAGGAAGATGGAGAGAGAGATAGAAACATTGATGAGAGAAAACATCGAGTGGCTGCCTCCTGCATGCCCCACACTGGGGGATTCGGCCCACAACCCGGTCATGTGCCCTGACTGGGAATTGAACCAGCAACCTCCTGGTGCAAGGGTCAATGCTCAACCAGTGAGCCACACCTGTCGGGCTAGTGTGTATTATTATTTTTTTATCCTCACCTGAGGACATTTTTCCATTTTTTGTTCAGATAGAGCAGGAGGGAGAGATAGGAAGAGAGAGAGAGAGAGAGAGAGAGAGAGAGAGAGAAAGAAACATCAATGTGAAAGGGACACATCGAGTGGCTTCCACCCACACGACCCAACCAGGGCCGGGGACAAACTGCAACCGAGGTACCTGCCCTTAGCGGGAACTGAACCCGAGTCTTTCTGGACCTCAGGTCAACGCTCTAACTGCTGAGCCAAACCGGCCAGCGGTTTTTTTTTTAATACTATTTTTTTATACTAATGTGTATTTTTTTTACTAATTAATTCATTTGTACACTGCTGCCAGTTATGAAATAATCATCCTTATGAAATAGAAATGCATGAGCATTCAGAGAGGTAGATACTAAGGACTGACGAAAGCAGAAGTTTGTACACTGTGGCACATGTTATAGGGTACACTTTTGGTACAGGCTTCAAATTTAGCGTTTTGAATATTCACAGTTCAAGAAAAGTGGTTTAGAGCACCTTCAAAGATTCATTTCATTATAAAAAGGAACAGACTTTCTGGGGTTTGAAGGGATTGGTACTTGAAGATACTCTAGACAGCAGGGGGTCATGTTGAGCATTCTGCAGACAAAATTGTTTCAAATCTGCAGCTGCTTAGGAAACCTTGACTTGGCTGAGGCCCACCTCCAGCCAGTGCTGTTGAACCACTTTCTTCTCAACAGTGATGCTGGAAGAACCAGACAGACAGGGTGCATGCGAAAGCAGGGCAGATTTGTTGGTAGTAGGTTGGCCAGCCATGGGTGTGTGTGGCCAGATGGCCAGGCAGCAAAGCAAAGGCCAAAATTTAGTGTGTATTTTAATCTCAACTTGCACTAGCCACATTTCAAGTGATCAATAGCCAATGTGGCTAGTGGCTCCTGAACCAGATAGTGAAAGTCTAGAATGAAAAAGGTAGTATTTGAGGCTGGGCAAAAGCACTCTTGTAAGAAGTATGATAGGATACATACATTATAAGTGTCACTGTTTTTATGACTCATGTAACAGAGTAGGGCATAGGTTTACAGTTGTATGTATGGAAAATACAGTTGTCAACATAAGAAACATTCAAACCTGTAGAGAATTTTTGTGAGTTTATTTGAGCCAAACTGTCAACAATTGTCGGGAAGCAAAATCTCAACAGATTGAGAAAATGCTCCAGAGAATGGCAGTTTTGCATTTTATTTTATACATTACAATCAAAAGAGAAGACATAAGTGGGTTACATGAAATCCACTGGTGATAGATTAGGGAGGCTGGAGAAAGCAAAGTATGTGTGTTTGGATAAAAAGTAAAATGATAGACACATACATCTTTTACATAAGTGGATACAGGATAGTTAACAGTCAGTAATTAACAGTAACAATGAGAGGATTTGTGGTCTCCACCCTGGTGTATTGGTTGTGTGCCAAGGAGTCTGGAAAAAGGGGAGGTACCCTGACATTTCCAAAGGTATGTTATGGTAGATGCAAAAGGACAATAGGTAGGCTTAAGTAAGGTAAAGATTGACTTTTATCAGGGAAGATTCTAGCCTAAGACATGACTACCTGCCATTAACTGCTTTTAGCTAAAAAGTTTTCATTTCAGACCACATTACATGATTTTTTCGGTCTTGTGAGTTTCTAAGGCCCCCATGCAGGCCTTCCCTGAGCTTGTCAGGTTTAGTATGTGGCCCCTTCTCGTCCACACAATAATGAATAAATAATACGAGAATAAACTCTGTTTCACACACTCAAAACTGTAAACATACTTTTGCCTCACCCTGTATATTCTGTTCCTGATGGTTTTCCCCTAATATTTAGAGAAGCTTTTGAAATTCTAGTGTTTCTCAGCAGTGCTAAGAAGAATTACAAAGTATCCTTCCTCCAATGCTGGGAAGGGATTTTCAAGGGAGAGCTCCCTCCTCCCCCAGGGAAATCCCAAGGGGAAGGTGAAATTCTCAGCACAGACCTCTCTCCCTGCTTGGAAAGTCCCTTCAAAAGGTTATTGTGAAATCTCTGGATTTTGTTTTAGAAGGAAATTGCTTTTCTTCACAATTCCTTTAGAAAAGTTTCATACCTTAGCTGCCAGAGATAAATATATTTACAATAATTATTACAGCCAAAGCCACTATATATCCTAGATTTTTCTAGGATGCTGTTAATTTTTAATAGTGTCTCTTTCAGTCTGTGCATATTGAAATATGGTTCAGAAGATAGAATCATTCTGTCAGTTTTGAGTGTGCAGTACTGGAGAGTACTATGGTGACCAAGCAACTGGAGCTCAGCAGTGCCTGGAACTAGAACTTAAATCTGGATACTTCTCTATAAATGGTTTCAGTAGACTGCTCCTTCGGGGGTAGGGTGGGGTGGGTGGGGGGTGGCTTGAAATGGGCCCCAAAGAGGCCATATCTCTTCAGGTGATAGCCAAACATGTACCTGTGTGGTAGCCCCTTCCTTCTCAGGAGACCTAGTTTAATGCCAACTGTGTTATGGTTATGTAGAGGCAACAAAGCTCTCTAAAACTTTTTTTGGCAGGCTGATATAGAAGGATTAACAAAAATGGACCGATGCAGGCCTGGGAGACTGGCTGGGATGCCGCTGGTGCTCACAATTGGGAGAGGCAATGGCCTTTACGGTTACCATTCAGAACGCTGTCCACGTTCTTCAGTTGTCAACTAAAATCATTTCACTTTCCAAGTCCAGGCTCTCGTGGATGGGGCGGGGGAGGGCCTCGCTTCCTGGAGGCCAAGTAGTGTCCCAGTGTCCTGGAGGGCACCAGGAGATCTGGAGGGATGCGCAGAGTTCGGGGGCCAGGCCCGCCTTTCCAGGCTGTCAATCTCCGGGCGTCCCCAGCTTCCAGGTGGGGACACCCCCTCCCCGCGGTGGAGCTTGGCGGGCCGGGAGGAGGGGCTGCGCTGCGAGCACCGCCCCTCCATCTATCACATGGCCGGAGCGCCACAAAAACAACAGCTTTGGCCGAGGCCGGGACTTCAGGACAGGGAACCCGGGGCCCTCGCCGCAGCCCCCACTCCATGGAGGAGAGTTTTCTCGAATCCTTTGGGAGGCTGAGCCTCCAGCAGAAGAAGACTCGGCCGTCGGCCCCGCCGCCCCCGTGTGGGACACCCCCACGCCGCCACAGCTTTAGGAAACACCTCTACCTCCTGCGAGGCCTCCCGGGCTCGGGGAAAACCACGCTGGCCAGGTAATGCCACCTGCCCGGCCCGTGCCCCCGGCCCCAGCCCCACCCCGGCTGTGTGGAGCCCGGGCCGCGCCGTGGGTGCAGTGTCGCGCTCCTCGAGCACGGTCTTGGCGCTGCGCCCCGCGCCAGCCCCGGATGGCACGGCCCTGCCCGCCGCTGCGCGGGCCCAGGACAGCAGGCCGAGGACCTGCACCGCCCAGCCACGGGCGGGGGTCAGGCCCGCAGGGTTCGTCGTCAGGCAAACCTGGGGGCGACTGCACAGAAAGCGGCGGGCCGCCCACCGGCGCTCAGGCACCGCCACCGCGTCAACAGGCGTCTTCAACCCAGCGGAGAGACGCGGGCAGGGCCCGGGGCGGGGGCGGGCGGCGCGCTGGGAACCGAGCGGGTTCGCAGCTGCGTGGCTGGGGCAGCTGTGGAGGCGCTCAGGTGCGCGGGAGGGTGCTGGCGCGGCTGCAGACCCCGGTGACAGCGCCACGCGGTGGGCGCCCTAATGGGTTCACCTGCGAATTGCGTAGGCGGCCCGAGTGCCAGGTCTCTGCTGGGATTACACGGGCTTGTCGACTGCTGCCCCTTGTTAGGCCCACCAGGCCAGCCTCAACCCCACCACTCCCTACCTTGCACCTGTGGTTCCAGCAACGTTCACCGGTTCTCTCCCTGCCTGTGCTGTCGCTGCCACCTGTCTGGCCTGCCCTGCCCTGCCCTCCACCTTCCTCCACCTCACAATTCCACCAGCCGTTTAGTACTCAAATCCGTTACAGCACTGGCAGCCACCCCACCCACCAGAAGACGTTCGCCTTCTTTTTCCTCCCCGTTTACACCTCTATGACCTCGCTGTGTTTTGCACATGGTTCTGTTTATCCCGTGTAAGTTCCTTGAAGGTAGGGGCCATATCTTACCCTGCCAAGCTCAGTGTCTGGCGTGGAGTATATTTTCAGTGGAAGAAGTGGTCCCTTGTCCTCAGAGAGCTTTCCATTTCCTTAGAGGGAGAAAGCTAAAGAAGAATCAGGGAGCGTACTTTTAGGAGCTGGTTTGGATGGGTGGAGGGAGAGCCAGGGAACTGGGACAGCCCTTGTGATGTGTTGCCAGTTGTAGTTAGGATTCCCAGCTCCTTCAGCAAAACAATATTGCTACATTTTCACAGATAAAGGGATGGGTGACTTCCAAAAGGCTGATAATATCCTTAACTAAGAGACTTATTTCAGTAGGTTTCTCTCTGGGTGGGGAGGTGGAGGGTGCAGAGTGGGGGAGCCTGCTTAGAACCCAGCAGGAGGTGGTTATTTTGTGATACAGTCATGGGGTGGGGCATATGTTAACAACAAAGTAACTTCTGTATTCAAATCATGTTTAGTTTCACTTGGGCTTTGCTGATCTATGGCGCGACCCACACGTCCCATACTGAGTGTCAAAGAAGGAAATGTCTTTGTCCACATTGTGATTATAACTGCTCAGAAGGGAAGTCTTATGATGAGTGGAGGCACATACTCTTGACCATCAGAAGCTGTGAGTTTTGGATCTCAATCTTCCTCATCTGCAAAGTGAGTGGCTTGTCCTCAGTGGTCTGTAAGGTCCCTTCTGGCTCTAACATTCTACATTTTTAGGATTTTAATTCCTGGGTGACATTTGGCTAAATAGAAGACTCTGGATGAGAGACCAATTAAAGAACATCTCTCTAGAGACAACTGGTGGGAACACTTGCCTGGGAGTCTGAAGATTGTGTCTTAGATTCTGTTCATTATGAAATAGCTGGTGACTTTGGGCAATTACCTGGCTTCTCTGGCACTTATTTTCCTTATATGTGAATACTAAGAAAGAATTAGATTAGATGATTTATTGAAGATTCTCTGACTCATTTCTAGTTGTCAGATTTAGAAATGGTTTGTTAATAATTGCTAGGTGAAGAGCTCTGAACTTGGAGTCCATTTATGGCTTCAAAGCTAAGCTTTGCCATTCACTAGCTGTGATGTTTACTCAACTACTTTGCACCTCAGTTTTCTTTCTTGTTAAGTGGGGATATCTGCTGTGCCTACTTCAGAGCGCTCATGTGAAGGTTTAACGAGTGTGAGAGAGCTTGTTAAACTTTAAAGTGCTGTATCAGTTTTAAGAGGTATTATTTACTACTACGTAAGACGCTGATCAGCTGAGGTAAATCTTCGAGGTGTTACTGGGAGGAGACTGGCTCCGCAGTGAAGATGGAAGCTGGCTCTGTGAGTTCTCCTGTTGGCCTGGGTGTTGGCAGTTCTAGGAGCAGAGGGACTTTGGCACAGCCTTGGGTGGGGTGTGCATTTATACAGAAATCTGAGAAGTGAGCAAGGAAGTAAGTAAGACATAGTTCAGTAAGAAGAGAGGCATGCAGTGAGGATGAAATGGTGTGGTGGACGTCACAGGCTGTGGCCCTCAGGGAAGCTGCCTCCTACTTTTTGGGGGGATTGGTGGGGACAGAAGGAGAATGCCAAATTGTTTAAAAAAATACATGTGTAGAAAATGGCAAACCTATGAGGCTATCTTATGTATAGTTGGATTCAGGGAAATTCATACATTCTTTATTCTATGTATTTTCTATAATGGACATGCATTTCTTGAATCAGAAGAATAAAAATTCAGGTCCATCCTTTTTTCTGCTTAACTTTTAATTTTCATTTGATTAAAGAAATAATAAAAATATTTTTGAAATTAATATGTCTTGTCTTCCAAATCAGTGTTGGATTTCTGTGCTTTTCACTTATTTGTTTTTCACATAGTTTGAAGGGGCGAATGTGGAAACCATCTATTTAAATTATTTGGTGACATTAAAAAATAGTTGCAGTTGTATGTGTTTTAAAATTTTTTAATTACATCCAAGTACTAAAAACTTAGCGTGCCCCCTAAATGTGTTCTGTGACCTCTATTTCATTTAAAAAACATTTCAAATATAGATTCTTATCATTGACCTGTAAGTCCTACTTCTAGGAATTCATCTAAAGGCAACATTTGGATAAGCACACGAACAAGGAATGTTCCTCACGGAGCCTTTTTTTATATAAAAGAAAAAAAATATGAGCCAGTGTAAACATACAAAAATAGAAGATTGGCATATAAGTCATGCTCCCATTATTGGGAACAATGATGTGTATATTCCCATTTGTGTGCATGCAGATATTACACCCCATTAAGTTAAAAAGCCTGTATCAAAGCTATCTATCTATATCTATTTATGTACCTATTTTTCATGTATATATCTATATAATACATATGTGATATTTATATATACAGTAAATATAAATCTCATTTTTTGTTCAAAGAAAGGTGTGTACATATCCTCATAGACATATATGTGAAAAGATAGACATATGTCAGTAGTTGACTTTAGATAATGGAATTATAAACTTTTACCTTTGACTTTTTTTCTTGTGTTTCTACAACAAATATATATCACCTGTTAACTTTTTAAAGATGAAAATAACATTTTACAGTTGAAAATAGTTTTGTTCAATAACTTGATGGGATAGACCCAGGTTGTGGATAAAGCATTTATTAAGTAACAACATAAATGTTATTTGCTATATAAAAAGGCTTTCCTAGGTTCATTCTCATTTGGACATATACTAGGAAACTTTTTTTAATATTCCAATAGTAAGTTTATTGTGAGGATTGAGGCTATGGTAAACAGATCCTATGACCCTACGTGGAAAACACTGGAATGTGTGGGCTTAATAAATACTAACTATTGTTAATTAATGTTCACTAATCTAAAATAATAGTATTCACTGAGTACTTGTACAACTATTAGTACCTGCTTAGTAAGGTATGTACTAAATAAGATTAAGAGAAGGAGCCTACACAAGACTAGGAATAGAAAACAATAATCAGCACACAGCTGTGGTAAAAGATGTCTGATGGGAAGACCATCTTTTTATTTTTTAGAGCGAGAGGGAGAGATAGAAACATCAATGCGAGAGAGAAACATCAGTCAGCTGCCTTCCACATGCCTCCTACTGGAGATGGAGCTCACAACCCAGGCATGTGCCCTGACCCGGGAGTGGAACTGGGACCTCTCAGTCCATGAGGACACTCAATCCACTGAGCCACACTGGCTGGGCAGAAGACCATCTTTTGTGCTGTTGGTGTTCAAGGCCAAGACAGTCACTGAGGATGATTAGGAAGACAGGATAATTATGAAGAGTAGTCTCCATGTAGAGATGGTTCTTTTTTTTTTTTTTTTCTTAATCCTCACCCGAGGACTTTTTTTCCACTTTTGTTCAGATGGAGTGGGAGGGGAGGAGGGAGGGAGGGAGAGAGAGAGAGAGAGAGAGAGAGAGAGAGAGAGAGAGAAACATCGACGTGAAAGGGACACATTGAGCAGCTGCCTCCTGCATGACCCCAACCAGGGCCGAGGATGAATCACAACCAAGGTATGGGCCCTTGGCCGGAATTGAACCTGCGACTCATTGGTCTGTGGGTTGATGCTTCAACTGCTGAGCCAAACCGGCCAGGGCTAGAGATGATTCTTGACATGGCCTTGAAGATGGCGAGGCTGTGGTAGAACAAAAGAGAAAGGATTAGCACCATGACTAGGGAGATGGGAAAGAGCTGGGGGTCTCCCAGTGGCTGGACCGGCGTGGATGTTCCATATGAGTGAATGTGTTGGTGAGGTAAACCCAGGGGCATATCATGGAGAATATTAAAAGCTTGACAAAGAGGTACAGAGTTGATAAAAGAAATAGGATTCCAATCCCAAGACCCCTTCACTCAGCAGATGATCCAGAACTGTTTCCACAGCGGAGCTGACAAAGTCACCAGGATCTGTACCTACCCATTCCTCTTGCCTCAGTGAAAGCATCTGTGGATGATATGTTTACTTCTGTGCTGTGTGTATGTGAAAATGTCCCTGATTTGGGTTGTTTTAACCATTTTTTTTTATCCTCACCCGAGGACATTTTTTTTTCTTTTTTGATATTTTGTTCAGATAGAGTGGGAGGGAGAGAGAGAGAAACATCGACGTGAAAGGGACACATCGAGTGGTTGTC